GATGTTTATTAAGCCCATGTCCTCTACAGACCTTGAAACCTAAAATTGTTCATCACTGTATTTATTTGGATTGCTTGCTCTCCATTTAACAGTAGAAAAATTGTATTAGTTTTGCGAGATTGCAACGATATAACGACACAGTGCAAAAGATTTGCAAGGTTGGTAGACTTCAACCTGCCACCGGCCCCACCATAGTAGAGCTATAATAACACACTGTTGACTTAAAGCCCACATCAATGAGGGCCGTTTATCTGTGAGTACCTCCCCCAAGTACACTGCCACAAGATTCTTCCTTGCCAACACAATTGATGTCATAGGCCCCCGTAACCATCGGACATAGCGCACTTTTGAACCCTATTTCTTTGAAACAAAAGCAAACAAGAGAGACAAAATGACAGTTTGGAAGTATGGTAGCTTTGTTCATGGGTGTTCTGTTTTTTAAAAAATCGAATTTTTTACTTGAAGATGCACTGAAAACAAGCCAATAAAAGCAGTCAAAAGTAAAACTCTTTATTGCAATATATACAAGCAAAACTCTCCATGGCCAAAAATCCAAAGTAAAATTCTGCACTGCAATACTCTCCCTAGGAATGGGAAATGATGTAACAAGGATCGCATGAATACTTTGGGGTTTCTTGTTACTTGCTTCAGCTCTTAAAAGCAGCTAGCTCAAGGGCTTACAAAAAGTAATAATACAAAAACAAAAGATGATACTAACCCTTTCACAAGCTCAAGGAGTTGAGGGTAAAGCTCTGTCTCCCTTAATTTGATGATTTCAGCAGAGGTAGTCTCAATGCCCTGAGTAGCAACTATCATTTGGGACTCCAATTTCTCTACTTCTTTCTTGATCTTCTCCGTCTTTACATAGTCAGCACTCCTCGCCTCAAGCTTCCTAAGCAATGCCACCTTCTTCTCATGCTCAATTTTCAAACTCTCAGCATTCTACAGAACAAACATAATCTCTCAAATATATTAGAAGGAAAAGAGCTAATACATAACATAGAATACCATCTTTTAATAGATAAATAGTGACGGGATAGCCAGTGCCCAACATTTTTTACGCTTTTTGACTCATCAAGTACCATCAGAGATAATCCAAAGTGTAAGCAACCAAATATGCCTACAAACAAAATATGATCCATTGGGACCATACCTTGACCTCGATGAATAGTTTCTTCTCCCAAGCATATAGTCTCTCCACAGTGGAACAATGGCTAACATGAGCGACACCCCCACTTCCTACATGACTAACCACCATTTCTTCACTCATCTTTCCAAACCCATCAAGTTTTGGGCTTGAACCCCATGTCCACGATGCTGTTCTAGTCAAATTGCACCCATAATTATAAACTCTACCTGCAACATGAACAAACAAATCGAATAAAAGACAAAGAACTCATTTCCCCCTTGTTTTACTTAGTTTTCTCATTAACCAAACAAAGTCAAAACAAGAAAATGGGGCTATAATAAAACAAATGTATAAAACTAACAAATCGATGACTAACTACTCTAACCTCCTTTGCCTTGTCTTGCTGACAAGTTAGGGCTCGAGACTTCTAAAACACGAGAAAGTTGACCGCCAGCATCAGCAGCTTTAAGAAAATATTCATCAACTTCTTTAATGATCTCCACTAAATCTTTACTATTTCTTGAAACCACCATAGCAAGCTCACTTCCACTTCCACTAGCGTTCTCTTTAGGAAACCGACTAGCTACCGAAGGTGGCGCAACCGCCACCATTTCCGATGTCGTGATGGTGGTGGTCACAACCTCCCACTCCTCCTCCTCCACTGATATCGGAGGAGGAGGGACAAAGGGGTCCCAGAAATCCCAACCCGACCCCGCCACTGGAGGAGGCGGAGGCGGAGGAAGAGGAGAGGCGGCGGTTGTGGTGGTGGTGGTGGTCGTCCAGGTGTCTGAACTTGGACTCATTGGAGGTGGTGGAGGTGGTGGAGGGGTGGGTGGAAGTGGTGGTGGAGAAGGGTGAATGGGTGGCAGGCGGAGGTGGTGGTCTGATTCATTGTTGGAGAACTGAAGGAGGGCTGATCCAGTACTACGAAGTGAACGGATGTACATTGCATGTGAAGCAGAAAGAGATTGTCTTGCTTTGACATATTGTTTCATGTATCTCTTTCTTGCTTTGCATCTTGACACCATTTCCTCTCTCTCTATTCTGGAGTAACAACAGCCCATGTTGCTGTCGTTGTTTCCTGCTCTTGTTGTTGTCTCTGTCCACTCTATAGATCAAGTGAGTCTTTACTCTTCAGTTGGTGTTATCGGGTTCTTCTCTCTATTCTCGAGTAACAACAGCCCATGTTGCTGTCGTTGTTTCCTGCTCTTGTTGTTGTCTCTGTCCACTCTATAGATCAAGTGAGTCTTTACTCTTCAGTTGGTGTTATTGGGTTCTTGATTTGGAGGACAAAGGGAAAGTAAAGCACTTTTCGAAAGTAAAAGAGTGGGAGATCTTACAGTACTTTGATCAATATTGGATGGAGTTTCATGGTCATTGATTACTATTTGATCTCTAAAGAAAAAACACACACAATAAGGTTATTTTCAAAACGCCGTCTAAGCTTCTTGCCAATCTCTGTCAAGCACTGTAATCTGTCTGTGTGCGTGTTCCAAGGTTTGGGATATACTTTGGTTTCGTTGAGGTGGTGGAGGAACAGTGTTCCAAGACAATGAGCATTGGGCAAAGAGCCAGCCAAGAAATTTTATATTTAAGATTTTAAGAGTCGAAAAATGCCCCTCTAGGTATATTTAAGTAGCTACAACATACCCTCCAGCATGCAGGACACAATCCATCCGAATTGTTAGTTGGGCTTAGCAGGGAGACCATGTTGAGAAGATTCTCTTGAGATTCTCGATGGTTGTAAATTGCCAAATTTGCCATGTGATTTGGTCTGGAAGAAAGACAACGGAGGGTGTTTTGGTAACTTGGATTCCAACGGTCATAAAGGGCAATCGGT